TCTTGTGATTCTGAGCCCTGAGCTCTTTCCAGAACTCTATGCTATTTCTCTAATATTAGGTCATGACTAGTAGTTTATAATAGACCCATTTTCAAATGTTTCTTACTTTCTAACTTTCAGTGTTTGGTCTAACAATCAAAATGGGGGCAACTAGGTGGTACAGTGGATAGAGCACTGGCCCTGGATTCTGGAGGACCTGAGTTCAAATCTGGTCTCAGACCACTTGACACTTACTAGCTGTGTGACCCTGGGCAAGTCACTTAACCCCATTGCCTAGCTAAAAAGAAAAAAAAAAGATAACAATCAAAATGTAGAAATGGAAATTAGTGGAAATAAAATTGGTTATTTTCCAGCTAACCTGGCTTGCTCCCCCCAGATTTACTGTGTTGAATGCCTAAATGTTCTGTTAGCATCCTTTTCTTCTATGGCCTTTGTTCGAGTCTTGTAGAATTGGAATGAAGGATTTGTGGTAGGAGAGGGTCATAGAAGCACAAATTGTTAGAATGGTAAGGAGCCTTAGAAGCAATCTAATCCAACTCCATTTTGCAGACTAAGAAACTGAGGCCCTGATCATTGATAGAAAATATCCTTAGACATATAGCTAGTAAGTAGCAAAATTGGCCCCCAATACAAGTGGTGTAGTTGAAAAAAATGAATTTGGAGTAAAAGAACCTGGTTTTAATCCTAGTTCTGCTATTTACTACTTTTGTGACTTTGGTAAGTTAATGATATCTTTGGCCTTTAATTTCTTCCTCTATAAAATTAATAAACTGGATTGGAGTGGGGAGAGAATTGAGGCAGGTAGTCAAATTAGATGACTATTGCAATAGTCCAAGGGAAAGGCAATGAAGACCTGAACTACGGTGAGGGATGTGTGAGTGAAGAAGAGGAGAATTATGCAGGATACACTGGATAGAAAGATATTATAAAATTTGGCAACTGATTGGATTAGGTGGGGTGAGCAAGAGTGAGGATTTGAGGATGACTTTAATGTGGTGACTAGAAGGATAGTGATACCCTCAACAGTAATAGGAAAGTTCAGAAGAGGGGAGAGATTTTGGGAAGAGATAATGAATTCTGTTTTGGACCTGTTGAGTATGAGATGTGTAGGGACATTTGATTTTAAATGTCCACTAGATATTTGTTTACATCATGACCTTCTGGATGTTAGGAAGCCTAAGGAGGAGGCAGGAGACCACACATGTCCTCTGTTGGCCCCTAACTATTGTGGCCTTGTGTCTCTCGAGAAATCTAGTAAGGAGAAGCTTATACATTGCATAAATGAAGTGTGAACTTTTCAGTTTTTCAAAGTGAAAATAGCCTATTTATAATTGCTTGCTTACAGATAACAAGTGCTCAATAAATATTTGCCAGTAATTGAATAATCTATTTTCTCCTTACCTTGGCTTTTTGGAATCCTTAGATTCCTTCAAAGATTAGCTCAAGCCCATTCATGGGTAACTTATGCCTATTTTGTTGATTTCCTGTACAAACAATACATATATACATATATGTATATATAGGTACTTATGGGGGCACTGCGTGTATATATATGTATACACATGGTGCCCCCATAAGTACCTTAAGGCACAGACTATATTTTTTTTATATCTCCAGTATCTCACACAGTGCCTTGCATATAGTAGTACTTATCATTTTAATATATTATTTTAATAAATGATTGTTGGTTGGCCAACCTGCTTGTGAATGTAGATTCAGCCTATATCTTGCCAATAGGTAAGGGTACAGGAAAAGGTTTTATAAAGGGTTATTACCTTAAAGATTCTGAAGCAACCAGATGTGAAAAGAGTATCCTCTCATTTTGAAGTATCCACCCTGTGAACTTACTGTTATTCTGAGGATTTAAGTCTGCATATCATTTTTATACCTACATCAACGTTTGTATGCTCTATGAAACAAAGGTTTATGCTTCAATGCCAGAGCTAACATTAAAAAAAATCCATCACATTTTACTCCTTTCAGTTTCAGCAGAATGTTGAAATATGACTTAGGAAATTATCCCCCCCAATTCATTTTTAATAAAAAGTGGGAACTGGATATGAGTTTTTAATAACACCTATGTATGCATTTAACTTTTATTTTTTATATATAAAAAGTGGAGTGTGAGCTTTAGGCACACCCAATTAAGCTTTTCAAATAAAAAAACGAAAAGTTGGAAGTATTTTTGTGTTGCAGATTCCTTCAGGGTGCAGGAAAGGGACATTTTCATTTTTGGAGATTAAAAAACTATTTCCTTTGTCCTTTCCTTATACTCTCTCCCATCTTTCCTCTTTAATACCATCAATATAATTGTAGAATGAAATCCAGCACCGCAGTTAGGTCTCCATGGCACTCTACACTTACACCAGCTGCCTCTCCTCCTACTTACTACCTTTCATGTATCCATTACTGAAATCTTTCTTCCACCTCTTTGTTTCTTTCATTTCTCATCTAATTTCCTCTACTTTTCTCCCTGTCCTGTGTGGTACCAGAAATACGGAGGTTAATAAGTGTTTGTTGTAATTTGTCTCCCTGTATAATAGTGACTGCAGGAAAAGGAATATGGAGAAGTCACTCATGAGGCTATTCTTTACAGGATATCAATTGCATTACTTCTTGAATTAGTTTGGAATTGAGTAGTAGGCCAGTAGTAGACTTAGCCAGGGTTGAGAGCTGATTCATTACTTGTCAGTCATCTTTGATTCCATGAAGTGAAAAGAGCCTTAGCTCTGGAGTCTGGAGACACAAGTTTAAATCTTGGATCTGTTACTTATACTATGTGTGACTTTTGATAAGTTTCTTAACCTCTTCAGGCCTCAGTCTACTCATATGTTAAATGAGATATTAGGCTTGATGACCTCTATGGTCCTTTCCAACTCTATAGCTATAATGCTCTGAAATTATATCCCATCATTACATATTCTGCTTTAAGGCCCAACAGGTTTTCTGCAGTATTTTTTTTGTATTTTACTGAAGAAACACATTTTCTACAGATCAAGAAAAATTTAAGAAAAAAAATCTACATGAGCTTTTTTCCTTTCTATTTTTTAAATGGGATACTAAAATTGTTACTCAAATTGTTCCACTGTTCCTAGACTTCACAAATCTCCTTAGAGCTCATTCTGGTTTTGAAACCAACAGACATGTTTGCTGGGGGTGGGGGTAGGGGAATCTGGCAGTATTTATCTCATCATTAATAAAAATAACTTGAACCAGGTGAACTTTAGCCCTCCTGTACCTAGGTTTTTTTTAATAATAAAAAGTACAAGTTCTGGCATATTATTGCTTCCTCTTATAGTCTTATTAGAGTATGTTCAGAGAAATCACTTTGTCCACCAAGGTACCCCCACCCCCACTTCATATTTAATAAGTACACAGAAAAGGTACTTCCTGTAACTAGTCAGTTCTTATCAAAAGGGGATTCTTCTTGGGGAAGCTATTGTTAATTCAGCAAAGTTAAGCACAGTGAAAACTTGGATGAAGTGAGCTTCTGACTCAATGAAAAGACAGTTTTCAAAATAACCATTTGTTTGTATTTGCTTGGCTGTTATTTTAGGTTTGTTCTACCTCCTCTCTTCCCCTCACCCCAAGCCTCTCCCTACCACCATCTATGTATGGGAACACAGCCCTAAGCTCAGTTTTCATCTTTCTCATTTGTCAAATGAGGATATGAAAGCAGACAATATCCCCCATCCCACTTTTAAAAATATCATGAAAGCATTTTAAAAGTAGTCTAGCCTGAAGCCTTTGGACTAACCTAAGAGAGAGAAATCCTTATCAGTCTTTCTTTAAGGATCACTTCTCAAATAATATTCTACTCCTCTTATTTTGACTAACCGAGGTAAGATTCTTCCTTTGAAGTTATTAAGTGGTGATAAGACAAGGACAAGACCAAGGGGCCTAGAGGATGATCTATTAAAAAGTAGTAGCCCCTTTCCCAACACCTTGAAGGGATTTGGGTAAATCTATCTAAGATTAGGAAGAAGTCCCTGATTTCTGTCACTAGTAAGTAACTTTGGAGCTTGGGGGAGGGGGTGGAATCCTTGAGTAGTGTTCATAGTGAGATTAAGTAGTTTTAGGAAAGTGCTTCCCCCAAATTAAGTGACTATTCTTTTGGGTTGAAGAAGAAAAAAAAGTTTAACTTTTTCCTTGCCCTGAGTTGTATAACCATGTTTTGTCATATTATATAATCTCCTTGTTCAAGAATACGAGTGTTATTTCAAAATATCTTGTGTTAGAGACATGGCTAAGTGCATCAAATGACTGCTAGTTTGGACATTTTTTTCTCTCTAAGCAGATCAATGCTTGGACTAAAATAATGAGAACTATAAGAATGATTTTGTCAGGCTTTGGCTACAACATAAAGTAGTGTATTATTAATTTTTTTTCTTCTTTTGGTAAGAAAAGTTGGACTAGATAAGTAGAAGTCCACACACCAAGGAATCTTTGAACAGATTTCAATGAGTCCACGGTCTTGGATGGGAAAATATTTACATCTTCATTTTCCTTAAGTTCTAACAGGAAATTCACATTTCTTTCAATTATGAACATAAACTATAAGCCATTATTCTGAGAAGTGGTCCATAGACTTTATCAGAATGCCAAAGAGCCTAAGATACAAGAAAGATTAAAACCATCTAGACTATACAGTCTTTAGTATGTCTCCCTAGGAACTATGTTGCAATACAATCCATTTAATTTTAGGGCAGCTATAATTACAAACACTTTCATTCCCACAATAAATTGGAATCTACCACTTCATAACTTTCACATACTGGTCTTGGTTTTGTCCTTAGGAGATGCATCAATAACTAGGGCCACTACCCAATTCTCCAGACTGCCTGTCTAGGGATCTTTCCACTGAGGAACGAGAAGCCGGGGCTCTTCAAAGTTCACCTGTTCCTGGTTTCAGATGCACCATTGTTAAAAATAGTGTATGAAGGAGCAGGGGCAAAAAGGATGTAGAGATAACCTGGGCCAAAATTTACCAAGGCATCAAGCTAACTTATGAGAGGCCAGAAGATTAGCACTCCCTTTGATAAGGGTGGAAGACATCCTAGTGGCCTTTATAACACATATATAGTTAAGGTATTACCATCTACTCTGTGATAGTTAACCATGCTCAGGTGCTATATTTTAGGGGTGTTACTCAGAGTTAGAGTATCTTGATACCCCCCAAAAAAGAGCAAATTAGCCCTCCTTGTAGGAACCATGTATCTCAACTCAAACCAAGAAAATCTACTAATCTTACCTAAGGGGAACATCCCCAAAGGTCAGCTGAAAATCTAAGACATGCCCAGAAACTGACTTCCTCTACATGTCTGCAAGAGGTTTTCTCCTCCATGGAACTGGCCCCAAAGAGAGTCTGGAGATGTACTCATTCTGTCTCTTAAAGGAAACAAGATTGGGGAGGCAGTGAAGTGTCTTCAATAGAAATGTGATATAATGAGGCAATGGAGGCCCAAAGATGAAATCAACTAATCCAAGATTACACAGTAATTTAGTAGCATTTCCTTTAGGACATTCCGTATTCCCTCAGAACTGGACTACTACCTTTTTCCTGTATTCAGTTTACCAACTCTTGCTTCCATTCAGAGGACAACACTCAGTGAAAACATTCCATCTTCATCTCTATATTTCATGCATCCTTTCATCCTTCAAGGCTCAGCTCCAGTGCCATCTCTTCTGTGTAGCTTTTCCCATGTTACCTCCTGAAGAAGTTTTCTCCCTATTCAGAAATTCCTAATTTCAAAATTCCAAATTCCTAATTCCAAAATTCAGAACTTCATCCTTTTTGCTCAGTTAATCTTTGCCTGGTATTATACTTACTAATGTTTATGGCAAATATTCCCCCACACCCTGGTAGAAAATATATTCCTTGAGATCAGAGACTGGGTCATTTTTCATCTTTTTTATATCTAAATTTCCTAGTACAATACCTGACATATAGGAGAGATGGAAAGAGATAAATAGAGATAGAAAGAAGAGAGACAAAGACAGATTCAGAGACAGAGAGAGAATGAGAGAGAGACAGAAAGACATAGACAGAGACAGAGACAGAGTCAGAGAGAAGACAGGCATACAGACAAAAATAGAGAGTCATTGACAAAGACGGAAAGAAGATAAGTTCAGGTTATGCTGAACAGCTTCAGTTGGCTAAACAAGCTCCTAGTCTCCCAGGCAGAATTTTCCCTCTGCAATGTATATGCTTAGCTGATATGCAAATTTATCAGACAGTCAATGGTTAATAAAAGTTTGTAGAAATGAATTGGATTATGTCTCCATGTGTATATTCCTATATCTAAAGTAAAACAAATCAGTGGATACAACAGAATAAAAGAATGTACTAATTGCAAAATTAGTGCCTAAGGACTTCTGGAGCAGTGAGGTCTCCAAAACTTCCTCTTCCTTCTGTGGCGAGTATTTCTCAATTTCGTGTTTGAATTTTGATGTCACCTTTGATTCTTCTTTTTCCCTCATCTTCCATAAGAATCAGTCAATAATTTCTGTTAATTACATGTCCATAATATCTTCACTTCTCTATTCCCTATTTAAGGGAACAACCACCATATTTAAGCCCTCATATCACCTACTAAAGCTAACCAGTAGCAACTCCATTCTCTCCCTCATTCAAACCATCCACCAGGCCACCAACAGATTTGTTTTCTTTATTCATGTCATTCCTCTTCTCAACATCCCCTAAATATCTCCTTATTACCTAATAAAAAAGTTCAAACTACTTTTGCCTAGCATTCAAGACTCTTCACAATTGATCTTTCCTCTTAACTTGTCCTGCACACCTCCATATTCTCTATGCTCTAGCCAAGTCAGATTTGGAGCTCTTCCCTGAATATGGTTTATACTTTCCCACCTCTGTGCCCATTTACTTGTGATGAACTCCCTACCTCTATTTGTTCAATTCATGTTGTTGTTGTTCAGTCATTTCAGTCACAACTGACTCTTTGTGACCTCATTTGGAGTGGTTTGTCATTTTCTTCTCTAGCTCATGTTACAGATGAGGAAACTGAGACAAAGAGGATTAAGTGATTTGTCCAGGGTCACACAGCTAGTAAGTGTCTGAGGCCAGATTTGAACTTTCATGTTCCTTATTCCAGACCTGGTGCTCTTATCCATTGCACCACATAGGTGCCTTTGTTTAATTAGTACCCATCCTTTGAGACTCGATTCAAATACCATTACCTCTAGGAAGCCTTAATTGATCTTTATATTTGGTAATGATCTTCATTCCCTTACACTATTTTTAAAGAAGAAGAAGAAGAAGAAGAAGAAGAATGAATATAGTACTTTAAGATTTGTTAAGGGATTTCATATATGTTTTCTCCTCTCATCCTCACAACAATCCTGTAAGATAGGTGTTATTACTAATCCTCATTTTACAGATAAGAAAACTGAGGCTGAGAGAAGTTACATGACTTGTCCAGGGTCACACACTAGTTAAATTTTTGAGGCAGGATTCAAATTTAGGTCTTCCTGCTTCAAATTCCAGTGCTCTATCTACTATGCCTTACACTTGTGATGTATTCATTGTTATAAATATATGTCAAAGTCCCCTAATGAGCTATAAATTTCATGAGAGCAGGGTTTATGTCTAATTCAAACTCCATGTTTTCTCCAATATCTAGAATACTACTCTGCACAGTAGAAGCCATTAATAGTGTCCATGTAAGATAGAGTTCATGGGATCATAGGAACTAGAGCTGGAAAGACATCACAGATATTATCTGCTTCAACACCCTTATTTAACAAATGAGAACACAAAGCACTGTGAAGCTCTTAGAGTCCGATCAGACATTGAAGATGTCAAGGTCCTCCACTGTATCCCAGGCCATTGTTTTAACTTTTCTTTTGCCACTGGACTTAAGTGACTCTGGAAGAGAGAGTGAAGCTGACTACTTGACACAAGTGCCTCATTAGAATCTAAGGCATGCAAAAATCAAGACAGCACCCATGATGTAATTGATCTTCTTTGAAAATAAAGGACAAATGGGGGGCACAGCTAAGATGGTGGAGTATAAGCAGTGACTTGCTTGAGCTCTCCCCCAAAGCCCTCCAAATACCTGTAAAAATGGCTCTAAACAAATTTTCAAGCAGTAGAACCCACAAAAAGACAGAGCGAAACAAATTTCCAGCCCAAGACAATCTGGATGATTGATCAGAAAGGCCTATCATGCAGGGTTGAGAGAGGAATCTAGTTCAGCATGGTTGCACAGGCAAAACAGGCCTCAGCAAAACTGGAGCAGCCCTCAGAAGACTGAATCATGGGCAGTTGTGGCAGTTTCCAGACTTCTTAACCCACAAATGCCAAAGACAACTTTTAAGGTCAGTAGGAAAAGTCTGTGACTACAGTGAGAGAGAAGTACGGTCCCAGTCCCAGGCCCTGTGTAGCCCCAGGACTGCAGCTGCTTCCTGAGCTCTTGGCCCAGAGACTGAGGGGGAATCAAGTGGCTGATCAGAGGGGGATTTCAGGGATCTCTTTGCTGGTGCAGGATTCTCTTGCTTTACCTGTGCTTGGATCTGGGTCACAGTTCAGGGTGGCAGCCCTGGGGATAGGAGGAGTGCTGGCATGGTGGAGCTTGTAGTGGTGGTAGAGAGGAAATCTTCCTCATAGTTCCAAAGCAGAAAAGAGTGCTTGTGGTCACTCATAGACCAGAGCACAGGCCAGGAAAGGAATAAACACCTTGCCCCTTATCATACCACCTTGGAAGAATTGAAAATTTACAGGTCCCTAGAAGTATCTCTGAAAACAGCTGCACAAAACCCCCAAAGCTTGGAACAGTACATTCTCCACACTGGAAGCAGACACCTACCTTAACAAAGAGTTTATAACTGAAGTAATTGACTATGATCATGACCAAACCTCGCAAAAACAGTCAGACCATAGAATTTTTTCTTTGATGACAAAGAAGATCAAAACATACAAACAGAAGAAGACAGCAAAGTCAAAGCTCCTACATCCAGAGCCTTCAAGAAAAAGATGAATTGGTCCCAGGCCATGGAAGAGCTCAAAAAGGAGTTTGAGAAGTAAGACAAGTAGAAGAAAAACTGGGAATAGAAATGAGAGTGATGCAAGTAAATCATGAAAAACAAGTCAACAGTTTGCTAAAGGAGACCAAAAAAAAAAAATACTCAAGAACACCTTAAAAAATAGCCTAACCCAAATGGCAAAAGAGGTCCAAAAAGCCAATGAGGAGAAGAGTGTCTTAAAAAGCAAAATTAGTCAAATGGAAAAGGAAGTCCAAAAGCTTTCTGAAGAAAATACTTCCTTAAAAATTAGACTGGAGTAATTGGAAGCCAGTGACTTTATGAGAAATCAAGACACTGTAAAACAAATTCAAAAGAATGAAAAAATAGAAAACAATGTGAAATATGTCATTGGAAAAACAATTAACCTGTAAAATAGATCCAGGAGAGAGAATTTAAAAATTATTGGACTATCTGAAAGCCATGATCAAAAAAGCACCTAGAATATCATCTTTCAAGAAATTATCGAGGAAAACTGTCCTGATATTTTAAAACCAGAATACAAAGTAGGAATGGAAAGAATCCACTGATCCTAAAAGAGATCTCCCCCCCAAAAAATAACTCATAGGAATATTGTAGCCAAATTCCAGAATACCCAGGTCAAGGAGAAAATATTGCAAGCAGCCAGAAAGAAATAATTCAAGTATTATAGAAACACAATCAGGATAACACAATATTTAGCAGCTTCCACATTAAGGGACCAGAGGACTTGGAATATAACATTCTGGAGGGCAAAGGAGATAGGATTACAGTCAAGAATCACCTACCCAGCAAAACTGAGTATAATCCTGCAGGGGAAAAAATGGACATTCAATGAAATAGAGGACTTTCAAGCATTCTTGCTGAAGAGACCAGAACTGAATAGATAATTTGACTTAAATACAATACTCAAGAGAAACATGAAGAGGTAAACAAGAATGAGAAATCATAAGGGACTTATTAAGATTAAACTGTTTACATTCCTGCATGGAAAGATGATATTTGCAACTCATTAGACCTTTGTCAGCATTAAGGTAGTTGGAGGGAAAATTATATGTGTGTAGATAGATAGATAGATAGAGGGCACAGTGTGAGTTGAAGATGAAG